AAATTAAATCTTTAATGGCAATAAATATGTGAATAAACTCACTCAACGGTAAACACATGGTAAGCAAAAGATTCGTGCTAAAATAGAAACGCATAAATATGCAACTGCCAGCCTGTCACTACCACCCACTTTTTATTTATTTATTTATTGTTGTTTTGTTTATAATTTAATCTAAATCAGACTTGTTTTATTATTATTATTATTATTATTATTATTTCATTTCCATTTCTTTAGTCATTTCGAAATTTAATTTAAATTTAAGTAATTTAATATTATAAAATTAAATTTCATTCAATTAAATAAAATCATTTGTTATTCAGCAACTACATGTTCTAAATTTTGACCATGGTTGGATATTCTCCGTCATTAAATCCATAGTCATCTCGTCGACGAGTATCAATAAGAAATGGGCTCAATGACTTTTTTTCTCGCTCCAATTATAATGGGCTCAGAATAGGCCCATTTGGAGCCCACATTTCTATGGGCAATAACATGACACATTTATCGCTTGACGAAAATGCCCTCAAAACCCTAATTCGGAAAGCTCCCTCAAATTTATGCAACTCTCGCTTCAGCGGTTGCGCCGGAGGAGAAGGTCGTAGTCGCCGCCAAGAGGTCCAAGCGAAAAATGGTGTCTGGTTCTGGGGTATGCGCGAAGCGCGTTGTGGTGGACGCGCGTCACCACATGCTCGGACGCTTGGCGTCGATCGTGGCCAAGGAGCTGCTCAATGGGCAGAAGGTGGTGGTCGTCCGGTGCGAGGAGATATGTCTCTCCGGCGGACTTGTCCGACAGAAGATGAAGTACATGCGTTTCCTCCGCAAGCGCATGAACACCAAGCCCTCCCACGGTCCGATCCACTTCCGTGCTCCGTCCAAGATCTTCTGGCGAACTGTCCGTGGGTTCGTACATCGCTTTCTCTCTGTCTTATTGAATGTGTGTGTTCCTCTAACATATGTGTTTGCTGTGATGGGTTTTGATTCGAGTTGCGTTTTTATGGTTTCTGGCATTTTGGTAGTGTGAATTTTCTGGGGTTTTTTAACCAGTTATGCGAGCTTAACTGTTTCGTTAAGATTTTACACTGTTCATTCTATTCCCGGAGAAATGGATACTATGATTCGTAGTTTAGTTCCCATCTGCTAGTTTCCACAGTTGTGACATAGCCGTTCTGTTTGCCAGTTGTGGATTATTCTGATTTATATGCTACCATTTTGGTTTTTGCTTGGAATTCCTCCTATTCTGAGTTTTCTATTTCTGTATATTGTTTGAATCGATTGCACGAGGAGCCATGTCGAATTATAATTTCTAGATGTGTTACGGAATGGAACCCGACAGGAATTTAATCATATGAAATTGTGTTACGAATCACTCTAAGATGAGATGTTTGGAATTGGGTGGATTGCAGAATGATTCCCCACAAGACGAAGCGAGGAGCTGCGGCACTTGCCCGCCTGAAGGTGTTTGAAGGTGTCCCTCCTCCTTATGACAAGACGAAGAGGATGGTCATCCCAGATGCTCTCAAGTTCGGTCCTTTTCCCCTTTTCTCTTCCATTTAACATGTTTTTTTTTTCAATTCGTATTTTGTCAATGCCTTTTCTCTTTTATGTCGACCAAAATTAGGGTATTGAGGCTTCAAGCTGGTCACAAATACTGCCTGTTGGGTCGCCTTTCCTCTGAGGTTGGGTGGAATCACTATGACACCATCAGGGTAAGCTTCGTGCTTGTCAGTGTGTCCTAATTCCGTGCATTTAGCTCATCTCAAAGTCATTTCTGGATTCATTTGCGTATGCTTATTATCTTGGAATATGTTTGTTATGCCCTTCCATGGACACGGAAGTTAGATTTGATGCTCTCTCTATGTAGCCTCCAATAGCCCCATAAGATTAATAGCTATTGATGCGGTTTTCTCTTATGCTATATATGTATCCCTTAATTGTTTAAGGGTATGTAACATTCTTAAGGTTGTGCATGATTAGACTACTTTTAGAGCAGTACGACAAGCAAAAAGACTGTTAAGATAGGAATCCTGTAATCTATGATCGGGATTTGCAAGACGAGGGCTCGTTTTAACGGTGATATAATATATTGAGCAGGAATTGGAGAAGAAGAGAAAGGAGAGGTCTCAAGCGGTATACGAGAGGAAGAAGCAGCTCAACAAGCTCAGGGCTAAAGCCCAGAAGACTGCAGAGGAGAAGCTTGGTTCTCAGCTTGATGTCCTCTCCCCCGTCAAATACTGATTCCTTTTTTCTGTTTCTTCTATCTTCAGATTGTATCCCCTTTTTCCTTTGCATGTTCCATCGAATTTTTGAGCTAGGTTTTGTACGAGACACTTGGAAATGCTGCCGATTTAGGTGGGACCTAATCCTCTGAGTTCATTATAGACTCGCTCTTAGATATATGATATATGCCTTCGCCATTGTTGGGGAGATCCTGCAAACTGAGTAAAAGCATTGTTGTTGTCGGTCTGCGGTTCGGATGTTAATATGGATGGTGAGGACGGGAATTTGATATGCGATTCGGATATCCGTCCGGCGTCGAACCGTGCCGCTTGCCTCGGTTTCTTGCCGGAAATTGGGATAACAAGTTGAATTTGATGACGAGTCTGGGACTTTGGATTCAGAGTTGGATCATCCGAAATTCTCAATTGATGGACGGGTGTCCGTCCCCTATTTGTAGGGCTAAAATCTTTGATTATCCGACCGCTTCCGACTCTCTACATGCAGGGGTTACGCTTCTTCTTCGTGTTAGGTTTTTCTCCATTTGAGAATTTCAGAAAATCAAAAGGCAAAAAGACACGTCAACAGCAGGGTTCGAACCTGCGCGGGCGAAGCCCAACAGATTTCAAGTCTGTCTCCTTAACCACTCGGACATATTGACTCTTTGTTTATCAAATATTGAAAATAAAGTTATTTCCCCTATACATCAAATTCAGATTTTTTTTTCCCAAAAAAAAAACAGAAACCTTACTATATTGGAAAGAAAAGACATTGTTATTGTTAGCTTAACCTTAAGACTCGCTCCTCGTTACTCTTTTCTCCTCCAATCAGAAAACAAATATCACACGCAAACTTTTCTTCCCATTTTGGGAGGGAAAAAAAGAAACATTTCCTTCAATTTGCGTATGAAGACGACACGAGACAACTTCGACTACTGAATATAATAAAAATCGTGCTCTGAACTCGATGCTAGAGAGAGGTAAATGTCTGATCTTGTGTGTTGATTGTAATTTAATATAAAATTTCCAGTTTTATGCAACCAATATCAAATATATAATTAATTTTTTTATTAAAAAAAATTCCGATGATGGAGAAAGGTGGTGAGAAGCGGCGTGGGGGTTAAATGGCGGCGTTAAAGACTCGGAATAACTCGCTCGCCGGGCTAACGTTGGACGCTGTTCTTGGCGGCGAAAACGCGCCGCTGGAAACGCAACGCGCTCGCAAAACGCTGCTAGACATCATACGGGAGGAACAACTGGAAGGTGACAACAAGGACAGGACGACGTGGAAGACGTTCCGTGAGAAACTGCGTTTGAAACGCACCGGTGCTGCTTGGTCCTCGTCTCATTATATCCCTTTCGCTGATATCGTTATCCCTGAAACCAAACAACACCGCAAAAACCACCGGCACCGGACACACTCAGACGACGATGACGACGACGACTCCTCGATTCGGCTGTCGGATCTTCTCTCCGCCGTTCCGATGTCGGACCCACCGGGCTCCTCCCGACGCGCCATGTTCACGCGCGGGTCGTCGATGCGGGCCGGATCGGCGAAGGACCCAGACGATTACGCCGACGTAAGCATGCCGGGAGACGGACCGCCGTCGGGGAGTCTCAGGCCGCAGTCGTCTCGGCACGACTCGGTCCGCGACCACGGAGACGGACATGATGAGATCGCGCGCCGACAACCAGTTGTCACGTTCGTGGAGGAGAGGACGATGTCGGCGAGAGATGCCGTGGCGACGCAGGAGGCGGCGGCCGCCGACGAAGACAAGGAGGACGATTCGGGAGAGACAGAGGAGAAACCTGCAGTGATGATGTCGCTGATGGATCTGTTGGAGGAAACAGACAGACAAATGGGTTTGACGGGATCTAGATACGCCATGGACGAGGAGGAGGAGGAGGAGGAGGAAGAAGATGATGACTGTAATGAAGAAGGAGATTTCGATTGCTGCATGTGTGGGGTGAAGATCAAAGGGGCAGCGTTCACACCATGTGGGCATACTTTCTGCAAGCTCTGCTCTAAGGAGCTTATGGTTCAGAGAGGTCACTGTCCTGTCTGCACCAGCTTCCTCGTCGAGTTCCTCGAGATCTTTTAGATTTCTTTCTTTTTTATAAAAAAAAAGGTTTTGTGAGTGTGAATCCAACAATTCTGGACATCTTTTTCTTTCTTCTTGAGAAGATGATATTACATTCATTAGCAGTGTAGACAAGACGTTTCTGCATATGGTATGCTTATAAAGCTCGACGGGATGGTTTCTCCGGCGACGGCGGCGGATTCAAGAGCGTTAGGGAACAGAGCAATCTATGCCGGAGCTTGTTCGCGCGTTTTTTTGCAGCGCTGAGGACTAAAATGTCATTTTACCTCCTCTCCCAAGCGTGCTGTTATATATACTCTTAATCAACGATTAAATATGGATTATTTTTTTAATTATATCTTCGTGAGTGTACAATAATATATTTATTTTATAGATTAAATTTTAAAATATGAGATTTGTTTTTCTAGAATTCTTTTTTTATAATACTATCTCCAATAAAAATATAGTTTTGGATTTGTCCCATAGATATAACAGCATCGATAAATAGCATCCAATTGCCACGATTCAATGGATCTTAATGTATTAAAAAAAAATCATATCCAATTTCGACTGTTTTATAAATAAACAAGACGTTGCTTTCGAACAATCTTTTTTATTTTAGCTTGGACAAAAAACAGTGACTTCATTCACCTGTGCTGCTGACCATGTAAAAGTCAAGTACTTTGACCCTGAATTGACCGATGCTAGGAACCAAAGAAGATCAGACAAAAACTGAAAACGGTCACCCGGAAAGATCAAAGAATCCATTGACCATCACAATCCCACATCGACCGACCATGGCAAAGATTCTACGACCAAACCTAAAAGACAAAATTAGATTTCAGACATAACCCAGTTTGGGTTTACTTAGGTTCTCTCTGTCAGTCTACAGACAAACCAACCCAAGCTACAAAAAAAGAAAATTCATTCTTTTGCAGAATATCAGCCGCTGTACATTGCAGGAATTTTTCTTGATCTGCCTGGAGAAAAAAACGAACCGAGAGAGATAAAAAAATGACTTATCTCGTTGATTAGCCTCTGGTCCGCATGATCGTGATGCTTCCTCTTCCGCCTTCTGTGCGGATTTTGGTCTTCCCGACAACGGGTTTCCCCGAGAAAGCCGAAGTTTGGTAAACTGGAGGGTCTTCTTCAACTTGCTTTGGTTTTGCCGGTGGAGTTCTGATTCTTTGGTTTATGTCCTTTATCGTAATGTCACCATGAACTCCACATGGTTTGATGAATGCAAACGGATATACAATCGACGATGGTAGTTTCGAAGATGGTCCTATAAAGGATTTCCTACCTAAGAAACAGATCATGCGAGATTAGTTTCGGCCGAAAACAGATTACGTAGATCGGAGAAACTAAAAGTTAGATGTTTTATTCATACCTTTAAAGACGACACTTGGAGAAGATCGAGTCACCTGCTTCTGGATTTTGCTGGCCTCTCTCTCGGGAGGCACATTCAAGTACTCTGCACGATAACACGACCACTTTAACGAGAAACAACAATGAAGAAAAAGAAGAAGAGGGTGGTGAGAAAGTGAGAAACCTTACCGGAGATATCGATTTGGAGATCAGATAAACCAGTTAAGTTCCTGAGAGGTAATATTTAAGAAGGAACTGTTTATGCAACAAAACGGGTAACTAAACCGAAAAGGCGGGGAAAGAATAGATGAGACATACAAATCATCGGGAATGAATGGCGTCTCGGCATCATTGAAGCATTCGGAGTACCACTCTTCAGAATGGAGATCGAGGCCCTCAAAACTCGAGGGAGAAGCATCGTCTGCTTTTTTTTTTCGTAAAAAAAAGGAATGTTATGATTGAAAGGAAAGTAATTCTTGGATAGGCGTGAAAGAAGCTGCAAGAAATAGACCTGAAAACCCAGTTATAAGATGAGCTCCTTCCGGTAAAATCTCATCAAATGGGTCCTCTCTAACCTGAATTTGAAATACAAGGGCATCGATCCTTTAAGTCGAAGATCGAAAAAACCCGGTCTATATAACAAAATGGATTCTCAATGTCCAGACCCTTAATCTGAACAATCCCTAACTGTTTTTGATGTAAATCACAACTTGCATGGCTTTGCCTTTGAATAAATCTCCAATGTTAGCAAAAGTTTCATCTTCAAACAAATTGGGCAACTCACATTTTCTTTTAAGATTGCAGATAAATTTTCTCCACTAAATAGCGAGGATTCGGCAGGTTGGTCTTCAAACTGCAACACCCGACGCCTCTTGTGAACCGAGCGTGTTTCGCTCTGTTCTTCAAGTGTCTTGTCTGTATCACCTGAAACCCGACCCGGCAACACTCTACATTAGAAAGCTGTCATGAACATATAGGTTAGGAACTGAAAACGACAACTTCAAACCTGCGGTCATATGGTAGGCCAAATCTTCACATGCCTTAATCGGGGTGGTGGTCGTGGTTTCGTCATCATCAAACGTATAAGAGTGATCTTCTTGGTTCAATGCGACTTCTGTATCATCGGCTGGAATCAAGAGAGATGATCGATCATCACACGGATCACAGAGTTGAATGAATCTAGTTAAGATACTTACAGAAATCAAGCTCTTTCTGGTGATTATGGACTTGTTCTTGCCAATTCCAGGAGGGACCTCTACAGTTTTTTTAAGGCATCAGTCCCAGTGAAAATCCTCAAATTCAGATGCTAAAGATTGAGCATCAGACAAATGAAATGACAACTATAGAGTTCGGATCTAGGATGATGATTAATCGATTCAAGGAAACCAAAACCAGAATGGGCAAAAAGGGATTTGAAGAACCATCCATGACCCACCATAAAAGTGAGAACCCATATCTTTAGTTTGCCGCTTTTTCGAGCAAATCCGACATTATCCAATAGAAAACTTGAAAATTATACAACAAATGGTACCAAACCCAGGATGCAGCAAAACATCCTTAAAAACTAAACCAGCAATGACCCGTTAATGGCAGCAAATCTAACAAAATCGTACCATTTGAAGCAAACCCACATACAACAGAGCAACTCAAATTAAACCAATGTAACCCTATAATGTCAGAAGATAGACAAAATCCAGAAATCGAAGAACACCCAAATAAGTAAATCATCAGTGTGTATCATCATCGTCGTCGTCAGCCCAGTGCCATAAAAACCCATCAACACAAAACCAGATCAACACGAATAACAAAGCAGATCAAAGAGATTTTACCGATCGTTCCCGTAATCCATCACTTCCTCCACTCTTCGGTGTTCTTCGCTTCACGCCCGATCGGCCTGAGTAGCCGTTGCCCAGAAAAAAAAAACACCGAAAATTACAAAAAAAAAAAGAATTCAACGCCGTCGTGAAAAAAAAAACAACAAAAACACGAACACGGTTAAATCGGATTCTACGTATATTCAGAGCAGTTCACTGACCCTTGTTGCTCGATATATGTGCGTATTGCGACCGGAAAAAAGAAGCAAAAGCGGCGTCTCTCTCTCGACACCACACTGCGATATTTTATCTTAATATATATATGTACGTATGTATATTTATTATTTATGAGAAATTTCTCTCTCAATGTGCAGAAAAAGAAAAGACCGGGCACGCTTCCTCAGTCCTCTTTTTTCGCGATTTTCTCTTTAATCCTTTTTTCGGCACACTCTTAATTGCATTATTAAATTGATTTTGTAATGTATTCGTTCGTGATTCTTTATAGTTTATTTATGGAAACATGAAAGAATTATTCACTTTAAAAAAAATATTTTACTAAAATTTCAATTATTTATTAATCGAAATAAATTTTGAATTTTAATAAATAAATAAATGTATAATTTTTATAAACTTATGTATTTCGATTATAACTAGAGTATATTTAGATTCTCGAATTATCATTATAATTATTTTCTAAAAAATATCAATCTCACAGTCTACTATATAGTAATAAAATTTTAATTTAGTTATGGCAATGATTTTATAATATGGAACAAACAAAACTATTTAAGGGTTTACGATTCCGAAATATTTCAGCATTGCTTTATAATGTGTTCTGACAATATACATTAACGAGAAAAAAAATCATTGATTGAAATTTTGTTTTAACAAGTGTTTGATATATGACGAAAAATCGATTAGATAAATATCATTAGGATGTTGAATATTTTGATAAAAAAAAAATACGTTACCAACGGCCATTTTGATTTGAAAGGGGAGTATATACCGTACCGTAGTATAATTTTCATACATAGATCGACTCAAAATATTTATTAATGTAATGTATAAAAAAAATTAAAAAGAAATTAATTTTATTGAGGAGAGAGAGAGAGGGGAGTGGAGAGTGTCGTGGTGGGGGGGGAGGCGAGTAACAAAACTGTCGTGTCCGATCCGTGGTTTGCGTGTTGTGTTGTGACTCTGCCTCCCATTTTCTCTTTGTTTTCTTCTCGGCCGTTGCGTCGCGCCATTTGCTTGGGTTTCGCGCGTGTCCTCCACTTTCCTCTGCCCCGACAAAAAAACTTTTCCATTTATTTTATCATACAGTCCTTTGGAAGAGGTCTTACTTGACCGGCCGGGCTAATAATGTAAACCGGTTGGTTAATATGCTGTCTACACCGGCCGGGCTAAACATTATGGGTTTTGTTTGGGCCTGAATGAGGCCAAGTTATATGGGCCCGTTATTATTTTACCCGACCCGGTTCTTCATCGATGATTGAGGGGACCCAACGGTGACGGGTTCGGCATTTTTTTTTTTCTTTCGGTAGACATTTTGTTGCCCATTTTCTTCGTGAGGCCGACATCTATCGAATTGGAATCGGCAGAGGATGAACTAAGTTTTTGCATTTTTGTTCTCCTTGAATCGAAGGATCGTTTTGTTTAACGGTCCCTCGTTCGGTTTCTGTTGTTTCTGGATCGAGATTAGGGTTTCTGGTACGTTTTTTAATCGTTATTCGTTCACCGGCGGAGAGAGAGAAGGATGTATGCTGATAGATTGGAGGCTGAGGATGGGGCTGCGAGCAGGAAGACCGTAAAGGATCGTCTCAATGGCGTTTCCGGCAACTTCTCTAGTCTCCGGCGACAAGTCACCGGCAAGAGGTTTTTTTTTTTACTTCTTTCCTTTTGATGCCCTGTTAATGGGAAATTAGATTTTACTCGATTTCTTGGAGCATTTAGAGCCCTCCTGTATTGTATATCGATTAGCTACATTGTTTCCATCGCTCCAAACTGTACATACATATAAGTTTTGCGTGGTGGTATGAACTCTTGACGTAGATTCGGTTCCCTTGTTCGTGAGGAAGTCAGCTTCTACGTGCAAGTTGTCTTCATCGAACTCTTCTTTCCTCGTGTTTCCGACAATGGTGGAGTGTTTTGGCCCTTTGTGTTCCATGGGATGGTTTCTGTACACTTGAATCTGTGATTCGGAAAGGGGTACTAAGATAACTGAGGCTTGGTGTTAGCAACCATGATTTTTCTCTGTATGTGGAAATCTTTTTATCATAGAATTGGCAGTAGAAAAAAATTTGATTAACTATTCTTCCCTAAAGCTTGCAGACAAAGGCATGATGACAAGTGGGAGCATGATCTTTTTGAGGAAGATGAACCTCGATTTTCAAGTATGTATTGGAAGTGTGACCTCAATCAAGTATTATTATAATTCGATTTTGCAAAGTATATCTGTACCGTATGATTGTTGACCCTGTCTGAATTACTTGCCAAGAACGCAGAGTTGATCCCAGAGATCTTCGTCTGAAGCTCCAGAAGAAACAAAATGGGTCACAAAGTGAAAGTGGACAGGGGGCTGGTTTGGGTGTGCGGGATCTACGTGACAAGCTGTCTGGGACAATGAATCCGCAACCGAGGAACAGTGACCCACCGAAATCTAAAGTGGATGCTGCCGCTAGGCCAGTCATGAAGAGCGTGGCAGTTGAAGCCCACGAAACAGGGATTAAAAGAGCTTCCAATCAAGCTCCAAGGAGGAAATCTCAGCGGACAGTATGAGCTCACTTTTTATTACATCTATAATTTGGTGTTAGAATTTCGTAGTGAGGGGAAACTCATTCTTGTATTGCTTGTGAGAGCACCCTAGTTCTGAGGATGTCATTCCATTACTTACTTTGTTTATCTTTTGGTTCAGGCTGATGCATCAGTGGACAGCTTCCTGGAATCGTTGGGTCTTGAGAAATACTCGATCAATTTTCAAGCAGAAGAAGTACGTACCTAGGACGTGGTTAACAAACAGAGTCTTTTCAGCTTTGGTTGATGCCTCTGCCAATGCATAATGTACCCATTTCTCACCCTTTTTTCACCACCTTCTCCAGGTTGATATGGCTGCTCTTTTGCATATGACTGATGATGATCTCAAGGCTATGAGTATACCGATGGTAAGTTCCATGACCAACATCCACTCCACGGCATTTCTCTATCTTCAAAGCTTTCATGTTTTCACCCTACAAATTCGGGAAGAGAATTTTGATTCAGTTCAAAAGATGTAGCAGTAGCAGTAGTAGACATCAACATAATATTCTCAAGTGTTTTGTTCCAGGGTCCTAGGAAGAAGATACTTCTCGCTTTAGCATCTAAACACTGATGCTGAACAGTTGCTTAGTTTGGTCACAAAGGGGGGTCCTTTTTTTAAAAAATGTTTGAAGGATAAAACCTCAGAAATGAGACTGAAGTTGTAATACCATACCAGAGATGGGCATCCAGGAATCATGTCTTCTTTGTTGTAATTTTTTTCAATCAAGTAAGAGAGTTGGCTAAGCTCTTAATTGAGATTTGAAGAACGTCAACATATACATAAATTATTTCTACAACCCATATATATATATATATATATATATATTTTATATCCAAAAGGTTAAAGAGAATTCAATTAACTTGGAAAAACCAAGAACAGAAAAGGAAACCCACCTGAGGCTGAGGAGAGACCGTGTTCCTATTCCGTAACCTCACCTTCCGCCATTGCCGTCATCTTTATTCACCACAACAAAGAGCTATACATTTTCCCGCCATGCCCAGCACAGCCAGTGAAAGCATCGTCCAGAATCATTTCTGTTGATCATCCCAGACGTGGAAGGGTTGCGAGCTAGGGTTTCTGTACAGTGACCGAGAGAGGGAGCATTTGCATTGTGAACTCGGACGGGTCAACTCAGTTACGCCATCGAGGATCGAGGATCGCAAGTTACTGCAACTCTGAGACTGGAAGCCGACAAAAATGGCGTGGAAACCGGAATCTCTCTAACAGAGATTTCTTCCATCGCCTTTGCAGACGCAGAGCATTTCCTGCTAACTCGGCCATCCTTCTGGTTGGTTTTAGACTTTATAGTTTACTCATGTTTTTCAAAATATATTTTTTTTATCTGATTCTTAATTCATGACAATGAAAGAGCG